ATATATATATATATATATATATATATATATATATATATATATATATATATATATATATATATATATATATATATATATATTATATTATATATATATATATATATATATATATATATATATATATATATATATATATATATATATATATATATATATATATATATATATATATATATATATATATATATGTAGAATTTGACAAAGCCTTAATTTGAGAAATTGGAGGGTGTGGTGGGACAACATGTATTCTTGTAGTAGTTAATCTTGTGGCACTAGCCAGAAAACCACTAAACCTTGTGATAGAAAATTTGCTGTACGTTTACACGGGCAACTGAGAAATATAATTTGCCAAATAAAAAACTTGTCATAGATTCAATAGAAAACTTGCTCGTGTTTAACAGGCTTTGCTGTTGTGCTTCCGTTTGAACATATACTGTACTACCTATATAGTCTATACTGTACTAGTGTACTTCGCTACATATGTTAATTCCTCTACCGCCTGATTGAAAGTTTACCAACATTTATTACTACAAATTGCATATCGACTGGATTGTTGTTTTAGATTACTACCAGTGAAGGCTTGGTTTGGTCACTTGCATGTATCAATGTCTTTTGAGTTGGAAACGCACTTCGCTATATATCGCTACTCCAGCTGTAAAGCCCTGGGCAAACTAGGAAACATTGTTGCGGAAACATTGTTGCGGAAACATTGTTTCCTACCAATGTTTCTATCGCCATATGTTTCCAAGAGTGGGCAAACACTAGGAAACATTAGTATAAGAGACCGTACGGATAGGGAAACATTCAAAATAAAATGTTTCTGAATTCGCTAGGCCTGAATAATTTTTGCTTCTCGGGAAGCAAATTTTGTTTCCGCAACAATGTTTCCAAGGGTGGGCAAACAGGGAATCATTTGAGGAAACATCGAGAATCACAAATGTTTCCACAACAATTAATGTTTCTTAGTTTGCCCAGGGCTTAACTCATGGCACATGCGGGGACATGTCTATATTTGCTGAGTTGCTGTAACTGCTGAGTTATACAGTAATGACCGTTTTCAAATTAACTCCCTAGCTTGATTGGAATAAATCAGTAGTTACAAGGATGCAATCCGCTATCAGTTGCACTATAGCGTGACAAGTCGGTCTCGCGTTTCGCTCACCCGCCTTCACTCGTTTTACTCCTTACAGTGCGAGACAAGTCACAATACGTTACGATGCGAGTCGACTTGTAGTCAAGTCTAATTACAGTTGTGTGTACTGGATAGTTGTAAGCAAAAAGGCCATCATTTTTCATTACGGCCGCTTGTCAATCTTACTTGCACACACTAATACTCTGTCACTAATCTTTTCAACATACAGCTGATTTCCAAAACAAGTGTGCTACTATATACTAATCATTTTCAACATCTAATACTTATATTAACTAAACAATATATTTAACATATTTCTAAAAACAAAGGTTGAGCCGTCGAGGAAGAAAGCTTCCTGCAAAAGGATACATATATAACGGAAGTCCCACTATAACTGAAACTTTTTTAGGAATTTTGTCCTTGGCCTGCGAATAAAAGCCTAGTCGAAGAACCCCTTAATTTGTAATCATGATTCATTGTGTTCGAATATTGAAAAGTGTCGCACTAATTATTGACTGTTTTCTACACGAGCTTGGCATGAGCCGAGTGTCGGAACCAACCAAGGGAATTACAAGCCAAATAAACTTTCCAAGCCCAAGGGCAAGGCTCATTTCTGAAATTCGTCAATCATGATCAGTCTAAAGTTTGTGATGAAGACACGAGACTGGAGTGTTGAAGCGTTGGGTCTTGATTACATGATCAGTCTAGCCATAGTCTAGCCGCTCTATACGTTCAGTAATCACTAAAGCCTTTGCCAAGTGCATCTCAAACCCCGCAAACAAGTCATGTGTGTGAATTAGTGGCGTGTGGCATTGCGTGCACGTCAGGGCCAAAGTGGACTGAAAACTGCCAAGCTAGGCATGACAGTACAGCGGATGTTCAAAAATGTTCGCTTGTCTCGCCTATAGACATAGTGTTTTGCATGCATGGCATTTGTATTCAATTGACTGTCGCGCAGTAAAGACATACATCCCAATGCAACTTATTGGGGGACCTAGCGGAATTCTATCTTTTACATCTATAAGCAGTAGCTGTTAGGGTAAGTTGACTTTATTAATGCGTTAATTCTTATATTATAGCCTGGCTAATATCATTAGCTTAATTATTACTTGCTCACACCTTGAATTTAGCCAGGGCTTAGCCTCAGCCCTCAGGTCTGCTTTAGAAGTCTGATTTTTTAAATCGTACGTTGAATCATTAATGCTTCTGAGTTTTACTCGGCGACGGAATTTCGATGTCAATTTCTTGTTAATTTATGCAACGAAACCCATCAAGTACATAATGCGCTACATTGAATAGGAATCCATTTAAAACACGCATTTCTCTCAATCCAATAAAAATTGCAGCATTAATCTTTGTTTATTCTTTATCTAAATTAGTTTTAGCAATGTATTATGTTCTAGTTGTAGGCCTAATCGGGTGTGTAATCACTCTCGGGACCGCTGTAGTTGGGGCTTGGGGCCATCTTTGAAACGGGAAATAAGGGATCGGAACGGTATATGCATGGGAATGACTGAGCAATGACCGGGGAATCGGCGCGGATTGAGCGGAGAATGAATCGGAAATGAGAATGCATACAATGCTTATCAACGATATTATCATGCACATCTTGTTCATATACTTGTAACATTGTATTTAGATTTGTAATTGTAGTCGCACATTATACAGAATATATTGCTAGAGGTCTAGCTAACCTCATCAATCAGACGGTAAACGAGAGATAAACTCGGATATCCCGATAAAAACATTCGTATAATTCATTCGGCAGGAATTGCCGCCACGCTGTCACAAAATTAAGAACTTCAGTAGGCCTACATTTTATAGCGGATTGTCTGTTGAAAGTGGTCGATATAGTAATATTCCTTGTTCAGTAGACAGTATTGTGATAGAGCATGTTAACACTGTGATTGCAAATGAAGAACATTTCTTAATGTCATATGGACATCATTTCGTCGATATGATATAGGATAAAAATATTTTGAAAATATCTTAACTTCTAAATACTGTAACGACATTTATTTTTTAGCAGCTTTTGATTTATTACAATCAACAAATTAGGTATTTTTATGTAATACAGACTTATACACTTCTATTTTGTAATTTGCCTGTATACCATATCACAGTTTGACCATATATACCGTTAGTGTACTTTGTTTGGAATAATTAAAGATTCACAATATAATGCTTGCCGCTTGTGTTGAAAGATGTTTGCAAGGTGTGCCTGTCAGAGAGAAGTATGATGGCATATCAAATTTCCATCTATATTATGTCGTTATTCAATTGTTAACATGATACGTTCAAACCGCAAAACAACAGAATCTAAGCTATCAATGCTGTTGTCTAATAAGAATGGTGTTCACCTATGATCAGTCGGATTTCGTCAGATAAAAACAGCGCCATAAGTAATGACACTATAGCTTGCGTGCAACCTCAAACCGCAAAACAGGCTACGTTTATACCTGGTCGTTGGTGTAAGATTTTCAGCGCAGGAAATTTCTACATTTCACCAAAATGTTGACTTGAAACAACAGATAAATTAACATTTATTTTTTCCGGGATAATTTTAGTCCTTGAATGAGTCGTGCTTTTCGGTTTTCGCTCAGTGACGTTTAGAAGGTAGGTAACACTTTATTTAAAGGATCTAACATAACACACGTTTTTGTTATATAGCCGAAAAAGGAAAAATACACAACATAAAAAAAACTCTTTGATGTGAATGATTATAGCAAATAAAAGAACCTTCTAAAAAGCATTCTTTCTTGCCTGCATGTTGTGGACTTTTCTTCTCTTTTAGATACTGCATATTCTTTTCGTAAATTGGAAAAACATTTATTCTAAACTTTTGGCTCCATCTTGAGCATTTATGTACGTAGCCAATCGGAAGCGCGCAACTTATTTTTCACTTGTTGCCTGGCGGGATAAATTCCATTTATCTAAATGCACGCGACCACAAATTAGCCAATTAGCCTAACACTTGCTGGACCTCAGTTGATACATATCGGCTTTCTTTCGAATCATTGATTGCCGTGATGGTAAAGAAGATTATTTATATATATTTCATATTTACCAGCCGTTTGATATCTTGTTTGCATATATATAGGTGGTAGGATTTCTTATTCGTTGATTTTTATAAAGAAGTGAAAGCACAAGCAAATGATGGTAAGTCAAATGTTCTTCGGAATCAATATGTAATTATTAAGTTATATATCAATATATAAATTAAATTTTAAAATTTTAGCTACATAAATGTTCCTAGTCACAAATAAATTCCCAAATAATCTTTAACCCAATCATTAAATAGTCTATTTTAAATCTTTTCAAACATATATATAGATCACTCTATCGGTTCAATTAGTTCAAGTTGTTATTTTGCTGCTTTTGAAATTTGTTGTTGCATCAGAAGATGACGCAGGTGGGTGCAATTTTGTCAATACTTTATTAGAGATATTCAAATTTGACATTCACTACCTCTCACTGGATAGTACGCATCTGATTGGTTAAACAAATATACAAATGCATCTGATTGGTCAAAATAAAATTTGAACCTTTCTATTATTTCGAGGAGATTCATGCATTGAATGGAAGAATCAGAAAGTAAATCAAATTTGTAAATTTGTCCGAAACAGATCGATGATTTGGAGAACCTGGCCGAAACTGATCGCATCACTTGTACATATTCCTATTCTCCATTAACAAGGCCAATTCAGTACCCAGTTGACATGACGGGCCGTTGTTGGTAGTAGACAGTCAATCGTCTCTGATGTAATAGCTGCCCGCTTTATTCGAGCACGAAATTGAGCAGTTTAAGCTGATATAGATATAAAGTCTGTTACATACGCCGTCGTTCCAGCTACTATATAATAATCGCTTCTAAAGAGAATCAGATCACTCATAAATATTTTCCTGTTTAGTCGTTGTGGTTAAGACCTTGGCTGGAAAGATTGCAGGAAAAATTGAAGAAACAAAACTCTATGGTATATCTGTTCAAAAATTCCTCAATATCTACTATGCAGAAGCACCAGTTGGAAAGTTAAGATTTATGAAACCTCAACCTAGGAAACCATGGAAAGGTAAGAGTGATAAAACACTGCCAGGTATTATTATTGAGTCTTTTATATCTAAGTCCTTATTGTTCTAGATAAAAAATCTTAGATCGTGGAGTCATACATCCAAGTATCGCGAAAACCTTTTGGTACTTGCAAATTAATTCTATGCCTTCCAAAACTAAATGCAGGAAACTTTATTCATTTCTCAAATTTTTCTTTTTTACATCTTAGCTGTTCCTCCATGCAGCGCTCTTTGTTTTCAACAAGAGATAATTTGGGAGGAAACAAATATGATACATGAACACAGAAATACGGTATACAAAAACCTATTTTACAAGAAACGACTACACTTCCTGAATATTCTTGGAAATCATATTGATAGCATAATTATTTTCGACTTCACCACTTCATAAGTTCATCAAGTCTAGTTAATTTCTGAACCTAAAAACTATGTTTTTGTTTTCATAAATTAAAGGACGTTTAAAAAAGCCAGACGATACGCCAATCTCGTGTCCTCAAGGAGTTCGAGTTCCTTACATAATGACTGAAGATTGTCTCATACTGAATGTCTGGACACCACACCCAAGACCGAAATCTGCTGCTGTCATGGTAAGACCATGGATAATAAAATAAATGGATAGGAAACTAGCTGACGTGATTTAATGTTTTCAATGGGCTGATGGCGTGGTTGGATGTCCAAACCTATAGTCGCAAACCAAATTCTCAAAAACGGCATGTTTAGCAATAATACAGCTAAACATTTTAGTCAAAGAGCAAATAAATATAACCACGCCATTCTACGATGAAAACTCGAAGTATTCCCAGTCAATTTTAGCAAATATTTCAAGCACTAAAAAAAAATACATCGCAAATTTCGTTAAAATTTGTGACGCCAATTTCGTAGCTACAAATGTAAAAAAATACACAAAACAAAGACGAAAAACATTTACCTTGAATACTTTGTCGTGGCTTAGGCATGTTTTTAAAACAATTAGACCAGTTTATGCTTCAATATTACCTTTTTAAAGTGGAAAATATAGCAAAACAACAAAAATGCCGAGAACTTTGGTAATATTCGCAATACGCGTGACGTCACGTTTTTCAACAAGGATGAGGTCAATGATGTCAGGAAGTTTCCTATCCAGTTATTTTACAATCCATGGTAAGACGCTGTTCGGTTTCTAAATTTAAATTTAAATTAAAACTCTTTGGTTTTTATCGTTTTTTATACTATAGTGTACTGTATATGCGAGACATTTTGCACAATTGCACTATTTATATGCTTTAAATTCGGAGGAAAGTATCAATCTTCGACAGACTTGCAAAGGGTGTTCAACTTTCCTCCTGGTAAGGTTTCAAATTTTTAAACCTCGTCAAAATAATAATGTGAATTATGCAATTAGATCTTCCATCCGTCTTTTTATGCCTATTTCCTACTGACTATAAAGCATTGATCAGCTGGTTGATTGCATTGTGCTCACATAGAGACAAACAGTACAAGCTGGAGGCTTCTAGCAGATGTAGATGTTACGAATTGCTACACTGTACAGAAACGCCAGTCCCCAGAAGCTACTATTCCCGGCTTGGCACATTAGGAAATGTTTTACCATGTAACTACCAGCACAACATCAGCATCCTGCCAATCTCAACCTGCTTAGTCAAGTATCATTTATTTGTTTTATCGTGTTCGTGTTGAGAAGAGCGTTCCATATTAAACCTTCCTCACTGACCTCACATTACGAATTCCAAACTGGATACTGATTGGCCATTATTGCAAAGTTATACATTTTGCAGCAAATTTACCACGTTGCCTCTTGGCATTAATTTTGTTGACAACTCTTCTGTAATTCAAAATGGTGAATCTATGGCAATCCGCTAGAGCAATGTTTGATTTTCATTTTCGATTTTAATTTTTCAATTTAACTTTCTTTCCGAAATTTCAATTTTCAGATCTACATTCATGGAGGTGGATATACAAGAGGAACAGCAGGAAGCTTTGATGGACATTCATTCATCGCAGCTGCTGGTGGTGACGTCATTCTGGTTACAATAAATTACAGATTGTTTGATCTTGGACTTTTGGTAACTCGAGATGAAAGTGTCAGAGGTAATATTTTGACTAAGAAAAAAACCAAATGAAAAGAAAACAAAAACTATTTTCACTCATAATTTCCTGGTGAACCACATGCAGATTTAAGAAAATACCTAACTCACCAAATTTGTGAAAATACCTTCTGCAGCCATAAACTATTTTTTAGCTTCTAAGCTTAGAATGATCATAGCCTATCGAAGGGAAAATGGCTGTGAAACTCATTAGAATAACAACAATAACATAACTGATTATCTATGTTTAGTCAACGTTTATTCATAAATCTGGTCGTTTCACCGTCACGTGTGTATTGTATTTTTACCAAATCCACCAATAGCAATTTCCAGTTTCCCTATTGTTCGAGTCACGAATAGGTGACTTTCCTAAAACATTGCTATTGGTTAGTTGGGCAAGAATACAATACACACGTGACGGTGAAGGACCAGATTTATGAACAAACGTTGACCAACATAGATAATGAGTTATATTGTTATTCTAATGAGTTTCACAGCCATCTTCCCTTCGATAGGCTATGGAATGATCATTTGTGCTCTGTTGAGATAAAAGGCCCCGCTGAGCTATGCCAACTATATGGGACAGTTCAATCATGATATGAGATGTGGAAGATTTTTAATTGTCGTAAACGGCACACATAGTTACAACTTCGACAACCTTTCTTAATAATTTCACGAAATATTATTAATTACTATTAATTTTACAACACCCTGCCCTGTTTCTAGGCACAATGGCACTGGATCAACATTATCACCAATTCATGAACACAACTAATTCAGTGAGCATGTGGGGGTAGGAGAAAGGGGGTTTGAGGGGGGGGGGGGCGGACTGCTGGCCCCAATCATTTCTAAGTCGGGCATATTATAATTGAAAATCGGGCAATTCTGCTTAAGGATCTGGAAAATGGTGGAAGGCAAAGAAGATGCTCATTAAAATAGTGGAAAAAGCAAGAACTATGAGACGTTGGTAAAACGTCATAACTGATTTCAGGAAAAATGTTTTGCTTTGGTTGTGCAATTTACATCAACGGCGGGAACGAGAGCAAGCCTGGAGTGTTGCTGGATATAATGCGCATTATAATTACATATCAAGTTAAATGATAAAATGTAGCTCTATTTCCGAACTATGTGATGAGAAATTGAGTCTTTCTTTGTATCTTGCCAGGAAATTTGGCGTTATTCGATCAGAGATTAGCATTCAAATGGGTACACGAGAACATTAAGCGATTTGGTGGTGATCCTAAAGAGGTGACGATATTTGGAGAAAGCGCGGGATCAGGTTCCGCTTCATCTCATTTATTGGGAAGTTGGCCATATTTCCAAAGAAGTATTTTACAAAGTGGAAGCATCACTTTTCCAATTGGGCTCGTCGATATGGGTACTGCTAAAAATATGTCTGAGAAATTTCTTAGGGACGTAAAATGCATGAATGATGGAAACGTTCTGGAATGTCTTCAGAACCTTGGCACTGAAGAGATCATGGAACATTACCGCACAACAGAATACTCTATGAGTAAAAACTTTCTGTTGCCTGTTATCGATGGGGCTTTCTTTAAAGAATTACCTGAAAAAATACTTCAAGAAGGAAGACATAAGCACATTGACTTAATGATTGGTGTTTGTGAACATGAGGCATTCCTTTGGCACTTTTCTAACTTACAAAACAGCCAAACAACTGAATTCTACATTAACTATTTTCAACGTATTCTTCAGTTAGAAGTTGGCGGTTTCTCCGAAAATGTTCATAAGAAAGCTTTGGAGCTCTACGAACCGAAGTGCTATCAAAATTTCGTTGAAGCATTTAGGCCAACGATTGAACTTCAAACTGATAAATACTGGAGCTGTCCGACAACACAACTTGCAAGATCATGGTCCACGCAATCGATTGGAAAAAATGTCTATGTTTTCAGATTTTCGTATAGCCCTCCTCTGGATATGCTGGTTTATTATCCTCAAGGTACTTTTGGATTTGCTGCCCATGCTTCGGATGTAATGGTAAGTGAACAAAATAATATAAAAATGTTTGCCCAAGCCATCTGTATGACCTCTTAGGAGCGCAGGAAATACAGTTAGCGCATTCCTCCTCACCTCTGAGTTATGGCCTGACTCCTATTAATTTTTATCAATTATTCACCTCAGTGTCGATGAATAGTGCAAGGATATTCACTTCGACGCGAAATTGCTTTAGCATACATCATAACATTCATAACAACACAAGAATGGCCAAAACACGACGAAAATATTTTTAAAACTAAAGTTACAAACTTTAGTATTTTTATTCATTAGCAATAGTTTCAAAGAATAGCTTTACATACTATGAAACCAAACTTAATTTGTGGCTTTCTTTGTGTTTGGCGAAACACAGCTTCGTTTAGTAAAAGGATTTGCTCGTCTGTAATTCGATTTTGTTTTCGGCCGGAAGTGAATAGTGTAAGAATAGCGAAGCAACCAAATTGCACGAAGAGTATATGCTAAACTCTGATAGCCAAATCAACAGCACCTTAAAATAGTAGAAATATTATAACATCAAAATTTTGCAACTATCTTTTTAAATATGAATTTTAAAAGTATTTTCTGACATCATTTCAGGGAACATTTGGCTTCCCCATCAACAATACACGTTTTCCTGAAGAAGACATGGTTATGTCATCTCGAATGGTTACCTACTGGACGAACTTCGCCAAAAATGGGTGAGTGCTTCGAATATAATGAATAACATATTAATAGATCATGATTTTTATCAAATTAAGTCAGTTGTAGAGAGGAATATGGCCTTTATTCACAATAGAGAGCTTAAGATGTGGTAAATCTAAAACGCGGACATGACAGAAAAACATACCCTAAATTCGCAGTGTCAGCAACACGAGTAAAAATATAAATTACTTTTGTCAACAAAGGACACAAGTGAAAAACAAATTTAAACTGGTAACAAACCAAAAGAAAAGCATAAGTCTTTTTGTCACGTCCGCATGAAAATGGTATGAAAATTAATTGTTATCTTATAATCTTACAATCGAGATTTTCATGTACAAAACGCCCTTCAACTGCATGCACTAATCTATTGATCGAGATGCCCAAAATCTTCATATTCTCTACTATTTTCTCTTAACTGTTGTTTGTTGTTCATTTTTTAAGTGATCCGAATGTTGGGATTACAAACATCACTTACAACAAAGAAGAGTTTCAAAAGTTACCTGATTGGCCCAAGTTTACTGACTCTAATGAGAGATATTTGAAGTTCAAGGAACTTCATGAAGTGGGAACCGGTGAAAATTTACGTCAAATGTATTGTGATTTTTGGAATGATCCAGAGGAATTTACGCGCAAAAATCCTGTTTCTTCTGGGTCATGGAACGTCTGGTTGGCTATAATTATTACGACAGCGGTTATAACTGTCGTTGTTATCATTCTTTATGCTTCGCTGAAGTACTGCCGTCGTAAACCATACACAACACTTGTTTGAATATGTGTAACGCCTTTTATCATCTTTGTCTTGACACTTTGTCTTGACACTTTGTGTGCCACATGTATACAGTACATATGAAATCAGTTTACAACGTTAATGCATTTCTGAACTATAGAGGGCACTCGGACACCGCACTGGTCTGTCCATTAGTTTCACAAATTTTTGTATTGATACGTTTGATATTTAATTAAGTTACCGTGCTGACAGACGGGGGTAGCAAATCTTCGAGTTAAGCCCTTCGAGTTAAGCCCCGACCACGCCCTTTCGAGCTAAGCCCGGACCACGCCCATGCCACACCCATTTCCGTTGAGGGCTTAACTCGAAGTACATAACTGGAGTTAGGTACTTCGAGTTAAGCCCTCTAGAAAATAGGGGCTTAACTCGAGCAAAGTCAAACATTTTTTCTTCGAGTTAAGCCCCAACGTTTGAAAGATGTAAAGGAGTTACGGTTAATCTGATCCCAAACAAATTAAGTTGTCATTTGGATCGCGTTTCGTTCAATCACGGTTCAATACGTTTTATTTCAGCCGACGTATTATATATATTAGCATTATTAGGGACTTTAAGATTGACGTTTACGGCAAACCGCTAACCGCAAGTCAACTGTTAGCTGTTCGAAGTTAGAGCAAGTGAGCAACTTGTGCACTATGATTTAGCTACTTTTTAATAGCTAATAAAGGAATAAAGATCGACCTCTTCTGCCGTAAAGGTCAATCTTAAAATTGATTAATTATCAAATTGTATACGGGTGTCCCGAAAAACACCGGACTCTGTTTGATTTCATGTAACGTAAAAGCTATAAAAGCTATCGCAGATTCGCAATGAAATAAAGATCATTGCATTCATAATGGACTAACTTAGATTTTGATTAGCAATTAATCACGAACGTGTCATTTTAAAAATGAGCTCAGGGCTGGTTTACAAGACGTTTATGATAATTATGCATACGCAGGTATTTTATTGAAGTTCAATTCATCAACTTAAGTCCTAAAGAGTACAGGGAGTTAATTTTCAATAGTTTTAGACCCAATTCTCAACGGTGGAAATATGCACTTTCGGTGGAAATATGCACTTTGACATTATATGGTTCTTACAACTATTCAAGTCTTCATTATATGGAACGATTTCATTAGACTGCACACATTTCAAAACGGAAAGCGGTCGCAAAATGTCGATCGCCCCACAAGTTGCGAAATGCAAATCTACCTTAAATACCGGGTGTCTCCCCAAAAACCTGGAAACTATTTGATTTCATGAAACGTAAAAGCTATAAAAGCGATAATGCATTCAGAAATGACCAACTTCGATTTTGATACTATATAGCACTTGAATTTACATGCAATAATCCAATATTGACTGCGCTATTGATGTTTGAACGTTGAACTACTGTTTTTGAAAATGCAAAAAATTAGCATAAAACAACACTTATAATTATAATTACTGATGTAGTTACAATTGTTAATTTTTATGCACAAGTTGCTCTAACTTCGAACAGCTAACAGTTGACTTCAAATTACGATTTGAAGTTTGCCGTTAGCGGTTAGCAGTTTGCCGTAAACGTCAATCTTAAAGTCCCTAATATATATAATACGTCGGCTGGAATAAAACGTATTGTAACTCGTTTACATCTTTCAAACGTTGGGGCTTAACTCGAAGAACAAAATGTTTGACTTTGTTCGAGTTAAGCCCCTATTTTCTAGAGGGCTTAACTCGAAGTACCTAACTCCAGTTATGTACTTCGAGTTAAGTCCTCAACGGAAATGGGTGTGACATGGGCGTGACATGGGCGTGGTCGGGGCTTAACTCGAAAGGGCGTGGTCGAGGCTTAACTCGAAGGGCTTAACTCGAGGGGCTTAACTCGAAGATTTGCTACCCCCTGACAGACAGACATACACAGAGATAAACGCGAGTAAAAACATAACCTTTTCACTCTTGCCCAAGGTAATTATATCTTTGGAATGTGAACTGGATACTCTGCATCGAAATGTTTCCACTCGTCGGGCAATTTTTAATCAGCTCGTATTTGGTCATTTTTGGTTGGAATGATACGAAGATGTCATGCGATAGCTACAGTAAAATCCCAATCTTTATTAACATGAAAAATTAAATCTTCGCAATCAATATTGAGCGCACTTGGATAACGCGACAATTAGGACTGCACAAAAAGCACCTCAAATGAAATTATTATGAAGAAAAAAATGTTGACAATATTAATCGTATGAATTTAGCGAACTGGTTTCTTGTGATATATTTTATTTTTCGGTAGCCAGCCAAATCTATCTAGTATAAAACAAAAACAAAATTATAGAACTATTATATATAGAACTATTATAATTACAAGCTATATATATTGTACAAAATTACTATTATAAAGCTATATTATCATATTATTATTGTATTATAAAATTATATACAATCAATTATATACAATATTTTGAAGTACAGAAGGATGATAAAACTATACCTTTCTTAGATGTTCATAAGAACATAAGGTTTATTATAGGAAACCTACACACACAGACAGGTACAGTATCTGCATTATAATTCATTTCATCATCCTAGTATGAAAAACTCCGTGTATAAGACACTTATCAACCGAGCGAAAACAATTTGTGAGGTATTAAGTATAACATTGACGATGAATTAGAACATTTAGGAAATGTTCTAAAAATGAATGGTTATCCCCGGCATTTCATAGGTAATGCTGTGAAAACACCACAAAGTATACAGCAGGGGCCGGTTGTATAAAAACGTAGTTAGCGCTAACTGTAGTTAGTGTTAATCACTGTAGTTAAATCCTTAACTGTAATTAGTTAACTACATGACTTAACTGCGTTGCACAAAACGTAGTTAGTCGGATAGTTAACTAATCACGTAGTTAACTGTGCGTGGGGCTTGCGTGGGGCGTTTAAACAGAAAATTACATAAAGTAAGCAACGAGTAACGACCGCTGACACACATTTTCAACACGATTGTGGACTCGTATTTTGCAAATAGGCGGGAAAAAACACTAGAAAACAGTGAAAAATAAACAAAAAATAAAGAAAAACCGCCACAAAAATCATAAAAGAATGCAGTTTTTCCTTGAGATGTCTACGTTAAACCAAGGCATAGCTGTTTGGCAATTATATATCAGTGTTTCTTGGTGTAATGGACCATACTTCTTCTTCGAGAAATCCTCCTGTGCAAAAATATGTTCTGTTTTCGTAAAAACACCAAAGCGATAGCATTTGAAGAGTTTATATTGTCAGGAAACATTCACAGGGAAGATAGCGATTGAAAATCTCAGGTAAGCGTTGCTTTTCATTATTGTTTTACTAAAAAATGTTGTCCACTCCTATACAAACGCCATTTTTAACTACGTTTTGGACAGTTAACTATACCCTAAAGCATAGTTAACTTTAACTACTTTTTAACTGCAGTTAAGGCTAACTACACTTTTATACAACCGGCTTAACGACGTGATTAAAGTTAACCACTTTTTAACTACTTTTTAACTACTTTTTAACTGCAGTTAGCGCTAACTACGTTTTTATACAACCGGCCCCAGAAGATTGAATATCAGTCCTCTGTTTGTCTACCATACATTGGTCCGGCTTCACAGAAACCATTCCAGTTAAA